TCAGTCGCAGTGGTCGAGCCAGGCCGCGTCGCCACGGCTGGCCTCTAGGCTGGCCCAGCTGCGGGACGAGTGCGACTTGCAGTTCTGCGGGCTGCAGGACGTCCTGCGGGCGCGCCACGAGGGCTGCCGCGCGCTCGCGCTCCAGCTCGGGCTGCTGGAGGAACTGGAGGAGGAGGGCGCGGGGGTGACCGCCCCGGACAGCACGACCAGTCGGTGAGCAAAAGTGGGGCATAACGCGTCTAGTAAATGCGTGACTCTTTGCCATGCACTCGCTGTGTTTGAACTGCGATCGCGATCTTGAACGACTTTGTGTTTTCTGTCGCTGGTCTTTAGGAAACCAGCAGGACAGCCAGAGCCAGGGGCAGCCTCCTCGGCAGCCCCGCCAGGGTCATCGGGCCCGTCAGCGGAGGCATCCGAGGCCCATCCCACTACTACGGCTGCTGTAGGGGTCGTCTTATCATCGGACGAGCAAAAACAAAACAAGAGCGTGAATAGCGTCGCGGAGATTGTGTTAGGCTGATATTCGGAATAGATGATCAATACGGTCTGGTTGCGTCACTTATGTGTGTATGTGCATTATCGAGATTCGAAGAAAAAGCTGCACATTAGAACGCAAATATTCCCAAGACGCTCTGTCTGCCGTTCTGAGAAATTGAAGGGGGTAGATAAAGTCGTAATCTTTTTGTTATGGAAAATGTTTATTTGTTAGGTTTATTCGGGGAAATAATCGTCAAAGTTATTGGACCTCACTCTTTGAGGCTGACTTCATACTGAGCAAGTTGGATTCGTTTCTGTAGTTTTAAAGACTGTATTAAATATGTTTAAAATTAGATCACATTGGTTTGTGCCCTTCAGTTCGTAGCACTCAGCCTCTCCAGTCGCCGAAGTACTGCTTGAAGCCAGCGGGTTCGGCCGCCTCGACAACTCGCTGAATCTGCAACCACCCCAAAATAGAGAACACCGTTCCATTTAAATACGCCGAAGGCTTGTTTCAACTTGAGGATGTCCTTCTTACCTTCGTCCAGCTGGGGTACTTGTTATCCGCCAAGTACTTCTCTCCCTTCTTCATGGACTCCAACTTCTCGTCCTTGGTGGACTTGCGGCCCACCCACACGTAGATGCCGGACGCTCCCGCATCAAGGATGAAAGCGTCCTGAAACAAAGAGCAGCAAGCTCAATCATTTTTATTTTCCCCCAGACGAAGTGTTGTCGGTTGGTCATTTTCCCGGGTGGTTGTCGCCGGCTTACTCACGTTGGTGTTGAGTTCACTCTGACTCAGGGGCTTCTGCGCCAACTTGTCCACCTTGAGGCTGCCGGTGGCGTCGCTCACTTTGTACAAGACGACGGTGTTCTGCAAACAACGCGAGCACTGATTGTTCTGCGGGCCTCCGGGCCTCCCCGAGGACCTCCCCGACCAGTTAACCGACTAACAAAAGACCGACCGCCTCTTGATATTATTTGCCAGGCGAAGTAAAAACTTGAGAGACCATACGTACGTCGATCTGCTTTTCGAAGTCAGCGTCGTCGCCTCCGGCAGAATCGTCTGGGATCTTGTTGGGGGCGCCGGAGCCCAGGATCTTGAAGAAGTTCTCCACGTCGATCACGGGGCTGAACTCGTCTGGAAGGGCAGATTATTTAGAGTGTGACAGAAAACTTGAATCACGAGCAGCAGCCGCACGGGTGTGTGCACGCCATTTCAGCTCTGTCATCGTTGGGGAAGGGGGGGGGGCAGTGGGTCATAGAGCCAGCTTGCAGCTAGACGGCGAGAGACTAAGGAAGGACCGTCCGCAGTGCCGTCCGAGCGACACTTCACTTACCGATGATGGACACCTTGGAGCGGCCGTGGTGGTCCTGGTCGCGGATCATGTTGGCGGCCTGGGTCGCCTTGATCTTCTCGACGCGCTTGGCGCCGCGGCCGACAAAGACGAGGATGTCGCCCTTGCCCGTGTCCAGGATGAAGCAGTCGCCGTGGTTCATGGAGGACACGTCGGCGTACACCTGCGGGCAGAGAGGCGGGGCTGGTGCGGGCTGGTGACGCGGCGGCGCGCGGGTGACGCGTGAGTCACTCACCGGCACAGGCCGCACGGCCGCACGCACTCACCTGCCTCACGCGCACGTTGCGCTTGCCCTTGACTTGGTACAGCTTCTTGTCCGAGTCGGCGTTGATGGTGACGTGGTGGAAGCCGCTGCTGACTCCGCCCGGCAGGTAGCGCACGCCTGTCAACACAGACGTCACGGCGTCACACACGCCTGCAAGGCCCCGCCATCCACGACACCGCGGTGCGACTGTTTGGACCCCAGCTACGGACATAGCTCCAGAGGACCCCGCGTACCAGCGGGCCTGCACGGCCTGGGAGCCGTGCGAGAGCGGCGGTCCAACTTCCTTATTACGCATTGTTTGCCCCGCGCAGCAGGACTTGCTGGTGTCCCGGAGCCCCTGTGGGTAGGCCGTGCCGCACAGCAAGAGTGCCCCGCGGGACGGCCTACCGCCCAGGCGGCCCGCCCCGCCGGCCGGACTCAACCGCGTGTCCCGGATCACGCGCATCGCATACGGACGCCCTACCGCCACTGAAGAGGTCGAGGAACTGCTTGCTCTCGTGGTCCTGGATCTCGCGGTGTTGCACCGGAGAGCCGCCCAAGGCGTCGTCGAGCTCCACGGAGAGGATGGCGGCAGCGCCGGACTCGTCCTGGAAGCGCAATTCGGTTGGTGATCGCGTCGCCAGGTTAGACGGACAACGCGGCAGCTCGCCGCGCGCCACCAACCCACCCACCCACCTGAGAAGTGTCCTTGCCGAGCCAGAAGAAGATGTCCCAGCTGAAGGTGCCTCGGTTCTCGCGGGTGTTGAGGACGATGTAGGAGTCGCCGGAGTAGAACTTGCCGTAGTCATTCTTGGGGTATGCGACGGGCGCGAAGTTCTGAAACGGAAAGCGTCGTCAGTGCACCTTGCCTTGGGTGGAGACGGGCGTGACCATGGCGACGCATCTGGCGTACGAACATCATGGGCTCGTTTGTATACAGATCGCCCTCTTGTCGAGTGTCGTGAGCGGGGATACCGCGGGGATACTCACCTCCACCCTCCAGATCTCGAGCCCGGCCTTCTTGCCCGCGTTGCCGAAGGCGGCTCCGGGGGAGCCGGGGCGCGCGGGCGAGGACGCCCTGGACGGCGAGGCCGCCGTGCTCTTGGCGGGGAGGGCCTCGGCCAGGGCGAGCGCCAGCGCCGCCGCCAGCGCCACGCTCCACACGGCGCGCTGCATCCTGCGGGTAGGGCGGAAGGCAGGCTCCGTCACGCCTCGACAACAAAGTCTAAAAACTACAAACGGGCAGTGCGGGTAGGGAGACTCGTTTTATCCTCCGCGCCCACACTCGTGCAGTGTTCGGTCACAACCCCCCTCCCTTTCCCCTTTCCCTGAGACCGCCAGGACTTCCCCCGAGAGAGACTCCCTCGCGAGAAAGACAGCCGCAACCCGCCCGACTGGTTGTCGAGCCCCAGGTAGTGAAACTGTCGCGGCCCATATGCGCGGATTTCGCTGACGGGGAAGGGGGCACACACCAGCTTGACAAGCAGCTGAAGAGCCCTAGAGAATCGTGCCACACTTTGTGCCGATGACATGTGTGCTTACATTTGGTACCGAACTATTTACCCGTCGCCCTCGACTCGCTGACAAGCCACAGAATTAAACAGCTTCCTGGGCATTTTCTCTAGGTTCTAGGTGGCCCAGCCCACCTGGGAGTACAGCAAATTGTCTACGGTCTACGGGCTTGCCGGAGCGATTAACCATTTTCGGACATGATTTACCTCATCGCGCCATGTTGCACTTACTTTGTGTTTGTGGTCTGAGGCTGCACGGTCTGGTCCCGTCCGCAACCAAGTCTCTTGACGAACTGTCTGTCGGCTCGGCTGGGCCGGCTGGGCCGAGGCGGCGGCGCTGTGCTCGGCGCTGTGCTCACCTCGGCCGGGGTCGCGCGCGAGGCGGGCTCCGCTCTACGGCAGGCGCGTGCGGGCCGCGCGGGCGAGTGTGACGGAGAGCGGGTGTCCCTCTTCGAACGCAGCCCGCTGGGCCGGTCGGGCGTAGCGGGGAAGACGGGCCGAGATGGTCACTAGTGGGGAGGGTCGCTCCCGCGTGCTTTGCTCTGGCTCCCCCTTACCCCCCC